TCGTTGTTATTGATATTTGACAAAATTTCACGTCTCAGTGTTAAATTTTGTTATAAATTTCATTTTTGACTTAAGCTGTCAAGCTTTTGTGTTTGATTTTTTTGTAATTTTGTTTAAAGTGTTTACATTCAAATTCTGTTTGTTTTTCGATCCCATTATGAGGATTAATCAAATTATTCATAATTTGACCTAACTAAACGCATCTGTTCTTTGTTTTTATTTTTTTCTTTATAAAATTTTCTTTTTTTTTTTGACAGTACGGTAAGCCTTACTGTTGATAATCGCTTATCTGTCATTCTACATTTTTCTTTTGATCTATGGCTGAAGGCGCTGGAAAAAGAATAACCAAGTCACCTGATCGTTTTGGATTTGAAATATCTAGTTTTAATAACGAGAAAATTTTATCTACAACACAGGATTTTTTATCAAGTTGTATCATGGCTGAAACAAAAGTACCATCTAATTCTGAACTTTATACATTTATTTTAGACATGCGAAACGATATTAATAATCTCAATAATACTCAAAATAAACTGTCAGAGCTATTGGATAGTTTATTGAAAGGCATTAGGGAACTAAAGTCCCAATGTGAAGAGAATAACCGTCTTATAAGCGCTAAAATCGAGTCTGTTAGTTTTGAATGCGATAAGCGGTCAGTATCTACTGATAATCGATTTACTGGACTATATCAAGTTATAACTAATACAAAGTACTCTGTTTCAAACATTGACAATTGTATAGTAGAATTACAAAATCATCAATCAGCATCTGATATTTTTGTTACCGAATTACATACCCAAAATAAAGAACTTACTAACAAAGTTCAACACCTTTGTAATGAAATCAAGATATTCGCAAATTATCCGCACTTGACGTTCAAAAACAGCCATTGAATCCGACCGTTGCTTTTACAACAATTGATCCTGTACTAACATCTACGAAAGTTCAACCAACATTCGTTCCATGCACGCCTGATATCAGTCGGTTATCTGTATCTATGTTACTTGCAAAATTTCATCAAGTTATTCCAGAATTTACCGGTTTTATTAATGAAGTACATCCTGAATTATTTTTAAATGAAGTTGATATTTATTTTTCTAGTATTCAAGCTACCGAACAACAAAAAATTAGTTGTGTTCAACGTCGTCTTGTTAAAGTCGCTCGAGTTTGATTTGACGCTTTATTACCACTTCCTTCTACTTATAATGAATTTAAAGATTTATTTCGTCGGAAATTTTGATCTGAAACTATACAAAATCGCGTTCATGATGAAATTTTACAACCATATCGTTATACTTCCAGCTCTGGCTTATCAACTCATGCCATGCAGTGGATTACAAAAGCTCGTTTTTTAACACCACCTATACCTGCTGAACGTTTAGTCCATGTAATATGTCAACATTACAATGATCATATTTGTACTGCTTTAATCGGTCGTAGTCCAAAGACTACATTTGAACTACTTTCTGTATTGTCTGAGATAGAAAACACACAATCGTTTCACTTGAATTCAAATAATACGAATGACTTTCGTTCACCATCGTTGAATAATAATAGTCGTGAGCGAAATCATAATTCTCATAGTAATAATAACAGGGGATAAAATCAAAGAAACTATCAAAATCGAAATTTCAATAATCGTCCCAATCAACCAAATACATCTTTTTCGGGAAATGAAAGAGAGAACGACCAGTAATTTTGACGGCTAGTCGTTCTCTCCAACCCATCGTCGATACTATTTCCACTTCAAATGGGGATTCTTTTTTTTCTTCTATTTTCAATAATCAGTCTCCAATGTCTATGTCTAGTCTATAAAATGAATTCTATTTTATATTTTAATTTTTTTTGAATTCTTAATAATAATTTTATAATGTATATTTGATTAATTTATTTTTTTTATTCTCTTTATTCAATTTTAATTTTGTTTTTCTTGTTTTGCTTGAAGGTTGAGGTCCACTTTGAGTGTTCGTTTTCTCTTTTTGAGAAGATTTGTCACGTTGTTTCAAACCTTCTCAAGGGGGGTTCTGTAACGTCACAAATTAGAAGGTGGACCGTTTATGAATTTTTTGTTATGTCTACTTATTTATTTTATCGCGCGAAAGAACCTTTTTCTGGCACAGCGGTGTCAACCACTCATTACTTTGCGCTGACCGCTAGATAAGGCGATAAAAGAGAAATATAATTAAAATCAAATTGTTTATCAGTATTGATCCCTTCCAAAAAGACTGGCCGTTATCGATTTGAAATTGCGGTTAGATCGGTGTTGACTCTTCTCTATTCTTACTTCTGTCATTGACCGTGCTAGAATGCACACGTTTATTGTTTATTGTCACTTTTTTTCAATGATGGAGTAGAGCCGCCAACAGCGAACGGCCAGGTCTTTTCGGCGAAGCATCCAGACCATCGGATGGGTCTCTTCGGAGACCGTGTATCGTTTTCTTTTATATATTATATTTATGTAATGAGCTATACAGGGTGTTCAGCAAGTCAGGAAACGGGTTTCTATTGTTCTCATTGTTTGTAACAATGAGAACAATAGAAACCCGTTTCCTGATATACTGACACACCCTGTTTTTATTAATTATTTTATTTCTTTTTATTTTATCGTAAATTAACTTAATTTTATTTATGTGTGGAGAGCACGTGTTTCCTTTTTCTTCTAGCCAACGCTAAGGAGCGAGTGTCCAGACCGCTCCTGATGTTCTTCATTAATTTCCAATTAACATTAACGGATGTGTTCCAATACCATCCGTGATGTTTGTAATATTATTTGTTTGTTTTGTTAAAATATTTTATTTTATTTGTATTGCCTTTATTTGTAGATATGGTTTTTGATGCATTCGCATTTTTGTCCATGTTTAACTTAATTTTCTTTTTTTTTAACAATTAAATTAAATTTCCTTATTAATTTCAACTGTAATATGTATTTTATTGCGCGAGTAACTTAATTACTCGCGTGTATTTCAATCCTATTCCTTAATCTAGACACGGGCTACGATATGTTTTACATATCAACCACAAACAACTTTAATTGTCATAATTGTGTTTAATAAACCATGAGGTGTTATAGTAATTTATACATATAACGACATATTAACTTAGATTATACTTTTAATTAACTTAAAATTAAATTCCACCTATGGTCCGGTAATCATATCTGATAGGTGTGACACCTCGCCTAGGTGGTGGCGACCCTTGCTACTATAGCTAGTCGTTATGCAAGTGGCAAACCACGTTGTTGTTACAGGCCAAAATATCAAAAGCCTACTTGCAACATGAATTAATTTATAATTACTTTTCTTCAAACAACAACTATTGACGCATTTTAGTAATTCATAAATAGATATATAAATATATAACTAGTCTTGAAGTATTCTTTTCTGAGATATTAACACTTATAAATTTAAACAAAATGAACATTGTGATAAAGAGGTTAAACTTTTGTATTTCTAATCAATTAAATTTTTTTTTTAAATAAAAAGTAATTTGATTTCAGTATAAATACATTTTGGACTAACATACACTTGTGAATGCTAAATTTATAGTACTAACCATATGCTTAAAATTTTTTTAACTCTTCCAAAATTAAAATTTACCATTAAAAACGTTTAATTACTTTATTTTTATATCTAATTTAGTAACCCTACAGCATTTGACCATAAGTCTAATTAGTTTAAAAAACTAACGTAATTTGAACAATCCTGCTTTGTTCATAAATAACGACGGTTATTTAGTCGAATTAACAAAACTGATTTTATTAATAATTTAATAAAAACTGTTTCATTATATATACAAAATATTTTAACTTAATAATTTTTAAACCAGCAAATATTTTGCATTTTAGCTTCGATGCAGAGCTGAGGAGGTATTGGTTTTACTATGATGTGTTTTTTTTTTTGTATGTCTGTTACTGTGTCTGCGACCGCTTATTCGTCAGTTCAAACGAATGGACTGCTTATTTAGCGACTAACCAGCATATCTGCAGGTCATTCCTTTATCCGAAACCTAACCTATATTTCCCGAGATACTGTAGCGCAGCGCAACGGGACAGTCCTTAACCTGGTGCTCCTTCTTTTTGCAGGAGAAGCACCCCTTGGACTTGTCCGGGCCCTTGCAGGCTTGCGTCACGTGCCCGTGCTCCACGTCGAGGAGCATGACGGGCACGGTCATCACCGAACAGTGGACCCGCACGTCATGTTCCTTCAGAGCGCCCTTCATGCTGTCAGCCTGGGCGTCCGAGCCCCGGACCTCCAAAAAGACGACTCCCGTTCGGGTCCTCCTGGTGCCCGCCCATTAGATCCCCAGGGCTTTGAGGTCAACGGTAACCATTGCGGTCTTTATGACTGTGGCGTACCGTTGACCCTCCCTGAGTGGCCCGAATGCTAGACCACTTGGGATGAGCCAAATATTTTAACTGTCTTGACATGGCAAGTGGATATCATCAGGTTGTACTACACACGAGAGATCAAGAAAAACAGTCTTTATTACGAACCAGGGGTACTACCAATTCCAACAGATGTACTTCGGGTTCAAGGGAGTCCCATCAACGTTCCAACGCTTAATAAATCGAGTGTTAATGGGAATAAATGGATTTAAGGCCTTTGTGTCATGTCAACTAAATAAGTCATTACAAATATTTAAAAAGAGTATCAAAGTTATATAGTTTCCAAGTAGAGTATATTTAAGATTTTGTTTCTTTGCTATAGTAAAAATATATAACTATAGCTTTACGTTAATTAGCCAAGAAAAATAAATTTTTAATCTTCGACTATATAATTTTTTTTAGCTTTGATGTAAAGCTGAAAAGGTATTTAATTTTAATATTTGTATTATATTATGAATGTTGAATTTAAAATGTGTATGATGACTTTACAAAGATGATTGTATTGATGTATACTAGAAATAATATTAAATACATTAAAATATATAATTTTTTGTTTTACAAAAAATGTTATTTTACAATAAATAACTTATATTTACACTATTTTAGTATAAATTTCAAAACATACGTTGAATTACTTAGATAAAATTTAATCATTTAAACAGTTGGTTTCATAAATTGAAAAGTTATTGACATGCATTTAAAAACTACACTAATTTTTTTTTCAATATGTTTTTTTACCAGCACAAAGGTAAGTATTTATTAATTTATTAATTTATATTTTTAATCAATGTGATATATAAATATTTATAGAGCAAGGGACTCACTGCGACTCAATTAGCGCACGTTAAAGAGATGATGCATTGGTATTTTATTAATAATCGTGATGTAATACAAAAAGTTTTAAAGGAATTTGGTATCAAGGAGGAATACGATTATAACCCTACAGGTAATATATAATTTGTAACATTTTTAGTTTCAGTTATTTTTACCATGATATATTTTTTTTTAATATCCCCCAATAAAAGTACTCAATTTAATTAATTTTTTTTTAATTAAAAAGTATATTTAATAAAAAATAAAATATATATATATATAAATAATTCTAATACTATAAAAATATACTTATAGCTTTTGTAGTTTTTAATATTAATTATATAAATTATCACATTTAACACTTTATAATCCAATTTAAACAAACTGTAATAAAACAAAAAGAAAATAAAAAAAAACCCAGCACAGGGAGGTCGCGGCACAGTGGTGACGTGGCATAGTTGGATCAAGTATAATGATATCTGACAGTGATTAAAATCACTATAAAAAAAAAAGGCTTCGATGCAAATCTTTAGATAGTGTTTAATTTTAAAAAATTGGTGGATTATTCCAAAAGCTTCATAAACTGCTAGTTCCTTATTAATATCCTGATTAAGATAAAGTATGTCGAATGAAAAAGGGATTATTAAAAAATAGTATTTCCCATAAAAAAATTATATTGATCAATACACTTTTCAATAAGTTATAGCATTATAAAGTTAAAAATGTAANAAAGTATATTACATTAGCTTTAATTTAAGATATATATAAAAGTGTCAGACCTTCCGGAACACTTTCAAAAGTGAAGTTGAAAAAGTTCTACTTTCTATATGCATTTTTATGTTTTCAATCCCCCCTGTATTAAGGGAAAGTGTCTGATTTAAAAAAAAAGTATGTTGAATGAAAGATCTATATAAATACTACTTCTCATAAAAATATTGTAATGATCCATACATTTTTCAAAAAGTTATAGCATAATAAAGTTAAAAATGTAAAATACAAAATCGAAAATTTTCACACAAAAATAGCATTCGGTAGCCATTTTCACCATGAAGATAAAANTGCATTCGGTAGCCATTTTCACCATGAAGATAAGAAAGTCCGGCATTTTTTTTTTTACCATTATAAAGTATATTACATTAGCTTTAATTTAAGATATATATAAAAGTGTCAGACCTTCCGGAACATTTTCAAAATTTAAGTTAAAAAAATTAATTTTTTGTGAAAAAGTTGTCATTTTAAATCCCCCCTTGTGGGCAGGTTAAGGGTTAAATTTATGAAAAAAATATACCAAATGAAAGGTAATGATATTATGCATCTATATAAAAAAGAATTATATTGATATGTTCATTTTTGAAAAAGTTATGGCACTTTTAAGTAAAAAAAATTGAAAAATTTTCGAAAATTAGCGACTTTTAAATTTGTAATTTTTTTGGAGGTTCCCCCATTTACGGGGAACGAGGGAATTTTTTTCAATTTTTAAGGGTAATGTCTTCGACTAGATACGATTTGTGATCTTTTGACGTATCATTGAAAGAAATCGGTTCGGTGAGAGCTGAGAAAAAGTGGTAACAGACACAAAAAAAAAAAAAACACATCTTAGTAAAACCAATACCTTCTCAGCTTCGCATCGAAGCTAAAAGAGAAAAAAGTAGATAGATAGAGATAGATTAGAAATAAAATGAAATGGAGTCAAGAATGTAAAGAAAAGGGCGGTAGCTATGGGAAACGAATAATGAAGGGTAAAAATGGTGGTGATGTGGATTTTAGTATGAAGGTGTGAATGCTTATATTGTACCAAAAGAAAATTTGAGGGTTAATTCAAAGATATAATGTAGCGTATGTATGAGCGAATGATAATAGAAAAATGATTAAACAAGATAATAAAGGGCGGAGTAATACATGTTTAAATGTGGCAAGATATGTAAGGGTGCAAGAAAATATAATGAATAAAGAAGAATTTAGAGCGATGAGTAAACGGAGTTTAAATACATGAGGATAATGATCAAATAAATAAGAATGTACATAAACGTTGTGACAAAAAAAATAGACCAATCTCAGGGTTGAACAATATTGAATAAATGAAGTCAATTATCCTACAAAACTTTATTAGCTATCTTAATGGTTTATTACGTAATAGAGTGTTTATAATTTGGAAGCGGAAATTTAAATTTGTACTTACCTCGTATCCCACGTAATGTAAAGCTTATTTCAAACAATCCAATGTTGATTATGAGTTTATACTGTATTTCACACGTTGTACACTACGAGTTCGATAGTAAATATGACCATCTGAGAATAAGGCGTTTAAATATAAATAATGCGAAACTGTTACACAAAATCCATGACTGTATAATTATATGCAAGAGATTCTATACACTCTATGTTTTAGCTTCGATGCGAATCTGAGAAGTATTGGTTTTAGTAAGATGTATTTTTTTTTTTTGTGTCTGTTACCACTTTTTCTCAGCTCTCACCGAACCGATTTCTTTCAACGATACGTCAAAAGATCACAAATCGTATCTAGTTCAAGACATTACCCTTAAAAATTGAAAAAAATTCCCTCGTTCACCGTAAATGGGGGAAACCTCCAAAAAAATTACAAATTTAAAAATCGCTAATTTTCGAAATTTTTTCAATTTTTTTTACTAAAAACTGCCGTAACTTTTTCAAAAATGAACATATCAATATAATTCTTTTTTTTAAAGATTTATAATATCATTACCTTTCATTTGGTATATTTTTTTCATAAATTTAACCCTTAACCTGCCCACAAGGGGGGATTTAAAATGACAACTTTTTCACAAAAAATTAATTTTTTTAACTTAAATTTTGAAAATGTTCCGGAAGGTCTGACACTTTTATATATATCTTAAATTAAAGCTAATGTAATATGCTTTATTATGAAAAAAAAAAATTTCGTACTTTATCTTATCTTCATGGTGAAAATGGCTACCGAATGCTATTTTTGTGTGAAAATTTTCGATTTTGTATTTTACATTTTTAACTTTATTATGCTATAACTTTTTGAAAAATGTATGGATCATTACAATATTTTTATGAGAAGTAGTATTTATATAGATCTTTTATTCAACATACTTTTTTTTTAAATCGGACCATTTCCCTTATTACAGGGGGGATTAAAAACATAAAAATGCATATAGAAAGTAGAACTTTTTAAATTTCACTTTTGAAAGTGTTCCGGAATGTCTGACACTTTTATATATATATTAAATTAAAGCTAATGTAATATACTTTATAATGGTAAAAAAAAAATGTCGGACTTTATCTTATCTTCACGTTGAAAAGAGACATCAAAANTCTTATCTTCACGGTGAAAAGAGACATCAAAATTAATAAAAAAAATACGATTTTTTTAAAAAAATTCTTTTTTATATTTTTAACTTTATAATTCTATAACTTTTTGAAAGATGTATGGATCAATATAATTTTTTTTTATAGATGCATGATGTCTTTACCTATTGACACGGCCCGCGTCGCTTCGTTATACACGATGCCCCGCGACTCGTGCCACTTTTATCAGCCGTCGCCCTACTATGAGTATTTGACTGACCAACACCGCGTGTTATACGCTACGGTGCAAAGTCCAGCAAATGCCGCACGGCCGACGACGACCCGCCGCAAATGGTGCGAGAGTCTTCCTCCCGTTGTGNAAATTTTGAAAGTGTTCCGGAAAGTCTGACACTTTTATATATATCTTAAATTAAAGCTAATGTAATTTACTTTATTATGCGAAAAAAAAATTTCGGACTTTATTTTATCTTCACGGTGAAAATGGCTACCAAATGCTATTATTGTGTGAAAATTCTCGATTTTATTTTTTACATTTTTAACTTTATAATGCTATGACATATTGAAAATTGTATGGATCAACATTATTTTTTTATGAGAAATAATATTTTTTAATAATCCCTTTTTCATTGGACATACTTTATCTTAATCAGGATATTAATAAGGAACTAACAGTTTATGAAGCTTTTTGAATAATCCACCAATTTTTTAAAATTAAACACTATCTAAAGATTTGCATCGAAACCTTTATTTTTGATAGTGATTTTAATCACTGTCAGATATCATTATACTTGATCCAAATATGCCACGTCACCACTGTGCCGTGACCCCCCTGTGCTGGGTTTTTTTATAATTATAATCAAATAATGTATTCTTAGTTGACTTTGTAGAATGAGTGTATTATTTATGAGATTATATTTTATTGAGAGATCGACACCAATATTTCTTAAATTTTCCTCTGGCCTGGCCAAAACAAGATTCAGAAATATTTATATCTATGTAAAAGATTTGTCAGAGCGGAATTGTGGTGGCCCAATGTGTCCCGGCGGTATCGCCTTGAAAGGATGCGTCACAATAATCACCAAGACAAAAATTAAATACTAAAAAAAATATATTCGTAAATTTCTCTATGCTGTCTGCCGGCGCGATGTTCGTTAGAACAAAGACATTAAACCAACAATGATTAGCTACCCAATAAGTATAGGGTTACAACACACTTAGTCATATAATAAATATTTACCATTAACTGAAAAAATTAGAGTTAATTCGGGTTTATTATATATAAAAATAATTTTAAAAAAAAATGTTTGAGGTTTAACATATTAATTGACATTTATTTCCACGATAAAATAATACATTATTATTTAATGAACAAATTAAATTAAATTGAAAGATTCACCAAAACAAAATTCACTTTAAAATCTCTAAATGTCATATAGTTTTAAAGAAAAATATTCTAAGTCAAAATTAATTAGAAAAACGACTAAGTGTTTTAAAAATTAAAAAATATTCTAAGTCCCGGAGAGTGAAATCTTGAATAGAGTGTCGTAGATTTTGTGTATTTTAAAAATGCCGTAAGAACTGATTTTAATAGGAATAAATGGATTTTTATAGTAGACGAGGGTCGTGTAGCGATCCCTAGTGTGATCTTAGAAACTATAGACCTTAATTAATAGTTAAATGTGATTGGCTGGACCTAATTGAGAACCCACACATAGGCGTTACTTTGAATCTGTACGATAATCAGATTTAATTGCCTAATTTATTGATTATTTTAAGTTTTAAATAAGGGAACCCTGTTTTGGTGATCTTGTAAATTCATAATATATGACATACATGTACAAAAGATAACATAATATAATATTTTAATATTATAAGTGATAATATAATATTACAAAACCTAGTGCTGATTTTTTTGAGTAAAAAAAATTATTTCATTATTCGCTTCTAACTTATTTACTTCCATTACAGCAATTAGAATAATAGAGTTCGATTATAAAAAAAAAAAAAATGTGTTCGTTTTTGACAATGATAATCGATTAAAACTTTAAAAAATTTTTTTGTTAATTATTATTAATTAGTGAAGATAGCGAAGACCTTATTATTGCTTTAATTTTGGTTAAGAGATACGCAAAAACAAAAAAGAGAGTAGGCCGTAGATTCGGTGGACGGTGACGACCATTCGATTACTGTCGATGACATGGGAAATACGTACGTAGCTCAAAAATATCAAAATGTGCGTATCAACTTCTTTTAAATTTTTTTTTCACAAACAAACTAGTTTGTAATAAATCTGGATGGAATGATATTCAGGAGAAATATTAAAATAAGTGGTTAAATGGTTAGTGAACGGTGGACACATTAAGGTAATGGTCAAATAAATAAAAAAAGCATCATTATCTATAGTATTAAGACGGGAGTATGATAAAATAGCAGTGATTTCGAGGGTTGAACAATATTAGTAAATTATGTTAAATATCAAATTTTAAATTTTCTAGTCTTTTTTACTAATTTATTACGTAAGTGGTTGTTTGTGAGTTAAATGCATAGATTAAATTTGTACTTGCTTTAAATTTTATATAATAATGTATGAAGTAATTCGATGCTAATATTTTTTTTCAGTTATTGAATTCACTATAAATGCGTTTAACACTGCGAGTTTTATAATTAATCAAATTATTTAGCCGATTTAATTTTAAATAATACGATTTCGTTATATTAAGGTTACGATTTTTATGCGTAACAGATTCTAAACAATCTGTATATTTTTTATTAAAAATATAACATTAATATATAATATCTTTTATATATTTATATATTATATTATATTATATGCATTTTATTGCTATAATAAATATATATACTTAAACTTAATATATATTACAATGTAATATAATATATATAATATTTATATATAATGTATACTAATAAATCATAAAACGTGTAATCAGGAAATAAACAAGGAAATAAGAATTAATTTTGCTTTTGGAATAATCCGCCAATTTCTTAAAATTAAACGCTACTTAGAGATTTTCATCGAAAGATTTTTTATGGTAATGATTTTTATCACTGTCAAATATCATTTATACTTGTTACCATTGTGTCGTGACCTCACTGTGTTGTTTTTTTTTTTTTTAATACTATATATTAACGGAATTGAATGTAATAAATTATGATAAAAACTTTTATATATTTTCATTAATTGTCGAGAAAAAGTATTAATGATATTTTGATTATCTGTATTTACGGTATTAATATTTTATAGATATGAATAATGTAAAAACCAACAAGATTCTGTTGTTTTTGGTTGATGTTGATAAGATTGGCGATAACCAAATGGTACAATGACATATTAATTAATCAACTGTTCTTTTTAGATGTATCAATAAATAGATAAATAAATTACATTATGTAGGTAGAGAAATTGAATAAAGTGGACGTTGAAAATATCTACGCTGAATTCTGTAAGGTTCACAAAGACGGAAATGGTCTTATTGATAAGGAACAATTCATTGAATTGATTGATGCAATTGGATACAGTGGTCTTATTAAAAACNTGAATTGATTGATGCAATTGGATACAGTGGTCTTATTAAAAACGTAACTTTAAATTTATTTTAAAATATTCGTATTTATTTATATACAAAATACATCGCCAATGATTTTTGTCCCTATAATGCAAAAATAATATAGTTTAGATTAATTTTGAAAAATTAATTTTTAAACTAATAATTCTCTATGCTTCTACCTGTGGAAGTGTATAATTATTTATAAAGTGTGTGATAAATTATTATTAATTATTTATTTAATTAAAACGTGGCATAACATAATCTCTTTTTTTAACGAGATGGTGAATGATTTTGCTATTTGAGGTGATGAAAAACCTTTATGATAAAAATCATTATTTGTGAAAAGGCTAATTAAAATTTTTTCGCTACTAAAAAATAATTTTTTTTTAACAACGCATAAAATGTTGATAAATTTCTGAATTATTAAGTATCCAGGCCTAATTATATCAGAACCCATTTGAAATCCAATAGTTAATTTATTTTTCTACATAAGCGTATTACAATAAATTTTTTTGTGTACTTTAGGCAGAGACACTGGACAAAAATGCCGATGAAAGTAACAATGATATTTTGCTTGATTTTAAGAAAGATATTAAAAATGATTGTAATTATTTAACAAATTAATGTAAAAAATATATTTTTCTTTTAATATTAATGTATTTTTTAGGTCATAAAGATTTCAATTTAGCTGATGTTTTATACAAGGTATTATTACACAGGACAAAATTGAAAAAAACAGAATTTGGCTATAATGAAGATAATATTTACTGGTGTAATCTATTTCTGAAATTCAATAAACAATTTAATGTTAAACAAATCCATGATGTATAAAAGTAATATTTTTTTAAATTTTAAAACAATCTTGTTTTTTAGCAAAACAAAATATTCTAAAGCTATCAAAATTGTAAACTTCACATCCACTCATTTATTGAATTAAATTATAATCATTGCATTAATTTGATTTAAATCTAGAATTTTTTTTTCGTGGACTCTGTGCAACTTATTTACGATGGGGTGGGAAGTAAAAGGGGCCTTACCTCAATATAAAAATTTAGCCTCCACAAAATTAAAAAAAATTGTTAGCATTCTTATACTTTTTACTGTACAGGGTGATTGACTAACTATGCCTCACGAATTTTCTTTAAAAATATTAGTATTATCGTATATGTAATTATTTTATTTGTTATAAATCTTTGTTGAGCTACTTGACAAGAAAAATGAAGATTCAATCTTCATCCCTCAACCCTTAAATCAATATCAACTTTAGTTTTTCAAATAGCAACCCAGTTTTTTTTTTTTATTAATCTTGTTAATAATAAAAAAAAAATGTTCTCAAAAAAAAAAAATCAATTTTAATAAATTCTAAGCGAGATATTACTATTTAAAGTTTAGGGGATTTAACAAATAAAACAGTAGTCGGGTAAATATTAGTATCGTTATTATTTAGTGTACCGATAAGAACTGGTAGCGCTTATCGATTTACGATCCATAACGTTCTCGTCTGTAATGATTTTTTCTTAATAAACCCTAAACTTTAGAGAGCCGTGGAGCGCTTAATATTTAATAAAATAAAATATTTTTTTTACAAAACATTTTTTTTTATTAAACTAAATCTAATGGTATAAAAAAAAAATAGTGTTGCCATTTGAAAATATGAAGTTGACACTATTTTTAAGCAAAAGGGATGGTGGTAAAAATTTAAATTATCTCGTGAAACAGCACATCAAAGATCCATAATGATTAAAAAAAAAAAATTGTTTATAACTCTTATATTTTCAGAGATAATTCGTGAGGCATAGTTAGTCAATCACCCATATATAGAAGAAAAATTACAAAATATCAATTTTGTAAAATTTTTAATTTCCTATTCGATAGAATATTTTATTACCCCAATTATACTATTTTTGTTTAGTTTAGCAAAAATTATATCAACATTTTTTTTTAATTTTTCAAATATTTATAAAATAATCATAACTTATTAACTCATCGCGTTTTGGTGTACTTAGGCTAAAATGACAAATTATGAAATTAATTAAACGTCAAATTTTTATTTGTTAGTTCATAATAATAGCTGAATATAGTAGTCAATGATAGATTACGCCTTAATCAAAACACTAAAATTGTGTTAATTGCACAAAACATGCAGATTTTTTTTTCGAATACTTAAGTTATGTCGCTAGAAAAAATATGCAAAATATCAATTTTTAAAGCGTGTAATTTGATATTCAAAAATGTAGTTTAATGCCTAATATTAATTTTTTTGGAGTGAATTAAAACTAACATTAAACTTTTGAAACTCGTAAAAATACGCATGACTTTCATTTTGTTTTCTCAATTTTTGTTGTACTTATTAATAAATAACAAGGGATCAAATATGCTGATCATATTTATTTTGCTTGATAATGTTTAATAACAGTCTATTACAAAAATATTTGATGAAATACGACTAAATTTTTTTTAATTTTTAAAACTGTTCGTATTTTTTCTTAGTTATATAAGTTGTGTTAAATTTAGAAAAAATTATTAAGTATCATATATTAAAACATATAATTTTATGTTCAATTCTTGTAATTGAAATGTAATGTAAAATGGTAGTATTTAATGATTAAAATGATTTAATAAAAGTAGTTATTAGTTGGTCTTGTATGAGCATGAGATAGTTTGAGTAACTATTTATTCATTTAATAAAATGATATAATATAATTTTCTTTCGGGATATGAGTACGAGGGTCTTATGAGAAGATGTAAAATATAGAAAAACAAAATTATACTAGAAAATTTATTATTATAATAATAATTTATAGTAGAAATTATTGTGATTAATTATCACACATAAGTTATCAATAACGCCCCACTCGTATAAGAAGTTATCTAAGCTTGTGCTGACTGTGAGTCATGTCAATAAATACCTCGAGTAGATTATTTGTCACAACTAAACAATTGATTTGTATCAATCCATTTTTAGGCATATTTCTCGGAATAGTTTAAAGGATTGACATAGATAATATAATTAATTTGATGAATTATAGACAATGATTTATAGACTACTGAATAATGACAGGTGTATGTACTGTAACAAACCCTAATTTTTAGTTTGTAAATCCAACACTTAATTTTCCTATAGAGAAGGTTTAAAATACTTTTGTATGATAACTTCTCATATTGTATTTATCATAATGTGTTCGTGAATTATATTAGCTCTCTCTGAACTGATATTGTTAATCTATATGTAAAAAGAAACCAAATTTAATTCAGCTGAATATATCGTTACCAAATATTAATAAAACCTCCTCAATTTAAAATATTTGGAAGAATAATTAAAAATTAGTCAACCGTCGCAAATTGTAAATTCTGATTTTTTTTTTTTTTGCATATTAAAATTTCTATCATTTTTTTTTTAAATTTAACAATCTAACCGCTAAGGTTCTTCTAGTGAGTTATAAATTATATAGGACCCACGTAATCCTGCTAGGGAACAGATTAGCCAATTGTTAGGACGCAAGCGGGAAAACAAGTTAAGGTAAATGGAACGCTCATCAAAAGTATATTATTTATTGTTGTTTATTTTTTATATAATACGTCATATACCCTCGCTCGATTTTGTAATTTAATGTGTACCGCGTAAAAATATAAAAAATCTGCGAATATACGTTTACTTTGTATATGTGCATATGCCTTGAAATTAAAAAAAATGTTTAAGTATTTATTATAAAGGAGAGCGGGACTAATTGATACCTGAGACAAGATTTTTTCTAAGATTAAAAAATATATTGTAATGTCTGCAAACTTTTTGTGGAGTTATTAAATTAAACAAACAATGATGAAAATAATTTAAATAAAAAGATTTATTAGTTTAAAATTACAAGTATACCTTATTTGTAAGAAAAATATTATATTGTTCTTATAAAATATAAAGTTATAACTGGAATATGAATAAACAAATCTTAACGTTTTTTATTGCAATAGCTAAAGAAAAACATGACGTACAAAAAGTGTTTTAAATTTTATGACTTATTCAAATTAAAAGAATTCTACGAAGACTTTTGAATAAAATTAAATAGTGATAATTTATAAATTAAATTTCTGTATTTAAAATAGTTTGCTTATAATTAGTTGAACTAGTTCAGTTACTGAAAAAAATAAGCCTAATAATTATCCAGGGACATAACTAAGGGGTCATATTGTTAATTTTTTATTGGGTTTAAATGTTTTGTTATCTACGATGCGAAGATGAGAAGGAATTGGTTTATACTGGAGTATGACCATGAAAATTCTCAGCTCTTAATTTATATATTAAGGCCGATTTTAATGATCAATACACGACGGGAACTCGATTTTATCTAATTGGACATATCGTTGCCAAGAATTGTAAAAAACCCTTAGTATTAGAAATTTAATAAATATTTTAAAATTACGCTACAAAAAACCATATTCACCTAAATAACCTTAAATAATATTCATTTATTTCGTAAAATCTTATCTAACCTAAGAAAATTACTAATGAATTTAAATCATGCAATTTATACATNTCGTAAAATCTTATCTAACCTAAGAAAATTACTAATGAATTTAAATCATGCAATTTATACATACATACAGGGTGTTCAGTAAATAAGGAAACGAATTTCTATTGTACTCATTGTTTGTAACAATTTAACTGTTTCCTAACTTACTGAACACTCTATGGTATAGTATAGTCTTTAACACTCAAGGATTTTTATGGATATACAATTATTCTAAATGCTAACATTTGAAAATTAATTTATGAAGTATAAGTATTCAAAATGTTTGTTATTTATAGTCTAATTAAGAATACTTTGCAAAAAAAAAATACAATGCTATATAACACTCACATATAGTAGATAAGATAAAAATGTGTACGTTTAAAAATTGTACATCATTTACTTGTTTATCATTTAACTTAAAAAATAGTTGTATTTTTAACATGTGTTAAATTACACAACCACACAAAAAAAACTTATATTCTAGTTCGGAAATCTGAGGTTGTAATCATCCCATCGTGTCAGGGTTTCTCATAACCTCAAAAAAACCCTTCATCGAGCCATATAACGATAAACCCTTCACATCAAACCCTTAACCTTTTGAGATCATAACACAATCACCCCATGATACCGCGTTACCATAAGTCTATTATCATATAACCCCATAACAAAATGAACATCCATATAAATTTGCATTGATACAAATTGCCTGAGATGAACTGTTTTGTTTGACTTGGGGGAAATGGAATTATGGGGTTATAGTGTAATCAAATATAGTAACCCTACAGTATTTTAACATTAGTATATTGGTATTCTTAAAATATAACGTAATTTCATCAATTTTTCTATGTTTGTTAATAATGACGATTATTTAGTTGAAAAAAAACCTGATTCAATCAATTCTTAATGAAAAACTCTTTAAATATATATACAAAATATTTTGACTTCATCATTTTTGAACTAGTAAATATTTTGCATTGCATTTTTTAAAAATAATTTTTACAGTTTTGGACTACATTAAAAACAACTTTTAATTATATGTATTTATTTAGTTATAAGCATTTTAATACATAGAGTGGGTATGTAACACAGCTGTGTGACACATATACCATTATATTTATCTGTATTCACCTTTGTTATGTACCCACTTATCAGACGCAGATGTAGCTTGTGTTAACGTGAGGGTTTTTGTAATAGTAATACATATATTTTACAATTATATACAAAATTTTATATAAGTTATACAGAGCGTTTTTTTTATCATAATCCATTCAATTACTCAATAAAAAAAAATGTAAACATTTTTTTTTTTTATCTCCGTTAGTTACACATTATTCTTTAATTATTAGCTATGTAAAACTTTTAAGTTCATCCCATATACCTTGTAAGCATGTCAACTATGTTTTTCAAATAGGAACACATATTTTGAATTTAATAAAATCTTTGAGGTTTTATTTTAATAATAAATGGCATTTGAATTTTAAACATTACTTTATTATTTTATTAAATTGACACGACTTACGTCGCAAAAATGTGGTCGACACTGGTTTTGAGGGTAGAGACCCGTGGGCCGTTTATTAAATGAGCGACAACAGATTATTTTAACAAAAATAAAACAAACCGAAAAGATTAACACAGTAATAATAATCTTCGCATAATATCGCGGCACTTTCGCTGGCGTCGACGACGCGATGTTCGGCGTAATCCTTGGACGGCAAAATGGGTAGCAGCGTTGTAGGCGACGGTGCGCGGGTGCGGTTCGGCTGTCGACGTTGTCGCTTTCACAACGGGAGGAAGACTCTCGCACCATTTGCGGCGGGTCGTCGTCGGCCGTGCGGCATTTGCTGGACTTTGCACCGTAGCG